CTGGATAGCCCCAACTATTCCAAAGGATGCTTTAGACACGACCAGCTGCCGCTGCTGTTGTTGCGCGCTGCAACTGCATCTACCCGCCTACGGAGAAGCATATCGTACACTAGCATGCAGATACTACGCATGCTTCTCTGACCCACTGCTGAGTTGCATAAGGAGAAACGCTTCTGTTGCTGAAGAAAAATCACTTGCAAATAAGACACGAGCAGCCAAAACCGAAGCCTACAGAAGTTCGTCCACGAGAGCTCAAACTAGATAAAAATTTGGAGCCCAACGGGATTCAAAATGATGGCTAAGGGGATAGCCGCCCCTCTCCTGTCATTCGGGGCCCAGGAGAATGGCGCTTGCTACCTACAAACCGGTTTTTTCCTGTGCTTTGCCTTCCTCCTCGTGCTGTTGGCGTACGTTGGCATTGTTCTGGAGGTCGTCGAGGTGTGCAACCGGCGATTGGCCTGAGCAGCTCCGGGTGAATACGCACTCGATGGTTCGCAGCCAATTTTCAATGTGCCTGACGAGCGGGCAGGCCAAGCAGTGTTGTCAGTTGCTGCTGAACTGCAGAAGCTGCTATTCATATGAATATGGAAGCAGCTTAATCGTGCGATAGCAGCCATTATTATCTGTCAAGTCTGAAGGGCTTACATTTACTATCACGTTAGTGACTCGAGACCTCCTTATGTCGCCAACGGCGCATAATGGGAAAGCTTGCATGAAAAACAGCTGAAATATGCAGTGCCGGTTTGCATACATGTACTGAGCTTTAGGGATGCACCTCCTCCGGAAACGGAAAAACTGAAGCGAGAGGGAACACCGTGATTTAACGGAAAGAGCTTGATGAGCGTACTGGAAGGCGCGGAGATGTGTAATCATGCAGACGATATCTCAGATGGGGTTGCCACATAGACGACTCCACAACATGATAAGCCAGTCTGTTGAGGGCTTCGCTGTGATATGCATTCACAGGCGTGCGGTTGATGACTGTATGTCTCCAAACCTGGAGCTGTTCTCTAATGTACTGCAGTGGCTAAATCATAGGAAATCAGGTTTCATGTTCCCATCCTGGAGAGCCACTTCGTGTTGTGCTTTGTAAATTTCAAAGTGCCGCCAGTGCCTGCAACGACATACGTTGACAGCTTTAGAGGGAATATGCAAGTTTGGAGCTGAGAGCTTGTAGTGCCTCACAAAGGGGACTTGAAGAGTAATTCCCGTGTCCTTGGATGCCACCATATATATATATATATATATATATATATATATATATATATATATATATATATATATATATATATATGTATGTATGTATACACTACATATATATATACTACGGGGTGTCGCTGTATTGGTCACAGCTGTTTCTCTACGTGAGGTAGCTGCATGCCGAGGCGAACTGCAGCAACAATAGAGCAGCAAGTAAACCTGTTGGGAGAAACGCTGCGCGTGGAGCGTTCAAGAATTGCGGATATGACAGAGGGTGATATATGCAGGGCAAACTGCCGCGCTTGCAGAACACTGGTAACGTCTCTACATTGTTGTTTTCGCAAGCGTCTATAGGGGTGCTTTTCACTGAACCACAGGCAGCGGGAGCGGAGAACCACTAGTGAAATGCGATGCGTATTGTGTGCTATTATTATAACTATTTGATTTGTTTGTTTGTCTCCTCTTCTACCGCTCCTTGCTGCGTATTCTCTTTATGTCTTTGTTCTGTTTCTTTGTCTTTCTTGTTTCTCTTTTCTGTCTCCCTTTTGTCCGTCTCTGCTTTCCGTGTCCATCTATATTTTGTTTTCCTCTCTCTATTTCGTTTGAGTGTCTCTGGTTTGTCTATCTGCTTCTATTTTGTTTGTTTCTCCTGGATTGCTCGTGTGCTTTTTTTGTGTGTCTCTCGCTCTCCTCCCTCTCACTCTGCATCAGGCTTTCTTCTGTTACCGCTGCAGCGCAGCAGCGGCTGCCTTTCTTTCCTACACTCCTTTTATAAACCTACTTTTCTGTGTTAATTATATGCCTAACGCCTCCAAGAGCTTCAGCCGCATATATATATATATATATATATATATATATATATATATATATATATATATATATATATATATATGCTGTGTAAGTACACCTCAGGACACACCGGCGTGGGTCCCTTTGCAACAACTCTATCAATCAATAAAATTGAACGCAATAATAAAAATGAATAAATTAAAAAAAAACGAAGCAAACTCAGCTCCCTCACTGCAGACAGGCACTGTCACCAACAGCCCCAACGCGCCCTACTAGATGTCTCCTGTTGCTGCAGCATCTTGCTGCAGCAGCAGGACGTTGCTGCCGCAGCAGCATGCTGCTGCAGGAGCATGTTGCTGCTGCAACAGGATGCTGCCGCTGCAACTGGATGTTGCTGCTGCTGCAGCAATATGTCGCTGCAGAAGGATGCTGCAGCAGCAGCAGTACGATTTGTACATTCGCGCAAATTAGAAGTCTATGAAACCGCGCGTAATATCTAGAGCCTGAACCAGACACCAGAAAAGCAGCAGCAGCAGCAGCAGCAGCAGCAACAGCAGCAACGAGAGCAAGGCGGTTCCTTTTGTTTTACTGTAAAGTGGTTATTCTTGCATTCTTGGGCTCTGCATATACACCCCGTGAACTGTCTCTTCTGTTGCAGCACGCGCTCTTTCGGAACACTTCTAGCATAACAGCAGCAGCAACGGCAGTAGCAGCAGCAGCCCTAGCAGCAGCAGCAGCACTAGCAGCAGCAACACTAGTAGCATCGTAAGTCTGAGTATGGTATTGCATATATTTTAATATGCAATACAGAGAAATATTCATATTGAATCTATGTATTTTTTTATTTGTTGTGTATGGACACCTCACCATCTTGAGACGGACGTTAGCGATATCTGACTGATCGAAATCGAAGGCGCGGCCATCAGAAATGCACTCCGCCATTTGACACAAAAATACCCCGCAGTCATACCCGTTCTGTTGCTGTGGTGCCCCTTCCTGCAGCAGCAACAGCACCAGCAGTAGTAGTAGCAGCAGCAGTTACACGAGGATAAGCGACAGCGCAGCTAACACCACAAAATGTGCGACACAGCTAGCCATAGCTAGCTACAACTAGCCATAAGTAGACAGCTGCGCTGTTCCTTAACCGCGTTTCAAGCATATACACCGCAGCCCGTTCCCCGGGGGAGATGAAGCTGCAACATTTCGCATACAAAAGCGGCGGCGTCTGTACGCCCGCAGCACTCACTTCTGGCTCTCCGTTTGGCTTCGCGTACCACTCCCTCTCTGCATCCAATGCAGTGCCTGCACAAGCGCAGCAGCAAACTCAGCAGCAGATGCAGCAGCAACCTGTGGAGCCAAGAGAAGCACCGCAGCAGATGCGGCGCGAAACAGCAGCGAACACCTTCAGTGCTCTCCTGGAAGCTTCCTTTTCACAGCAGCAAGAGCGCCAGCAACAGCTGAACCAGCAGAAACAGCAGTATGCCGACTACGTGCGTATCTGTACCCTTTTTGTCTTTATGCTCATCTTGGAGGTATTTCCTTAGGCGCCAAGCGAGGGGTTTGTGTTTGCCTCCTAACGAATCGAAAAACCGAATGCTTTCTTTTCCTTCCCTAGGTACAGCAACAAACGAACAAAATACGCAAAGGTGCGATTGTCTGTGCTTTTTTTGGTGGTGTTAATCCATGCTTTTAAATACCAGGGGGTACAGGCGAGGCAAACAAGGAAATTAACGAAAAAAATACAATTTAAATAATAATAATGTTTTATTTCTTGTTGCTGTCTTCTGAAACAAGAAGTGGATCCTTACCTCATGTCAATTACACCCAGCGTCCAATGGAGCTCTCCGAGATGTAGGGGAATAAAAATTAGATCCTTTTCAAACAAATCGACTTTTTGGCGTCGGGTCCATCTCTGAAAAAGCAGAAGAAAAGAAAGAAAAAAAGAAAACAATCGTTTCAATCATAGAAGAAGCGAAACTCCTCTTTGCGCTTCTACGTAGCAAGCTGAACACGTACATAGGAATCTGAACTCTGCGTATTTCCTGCCACTAGCATGGAAAGCTGCAATTCAAGAACGTCTTTAGCATCCTGATGACATCGGTAATGCATAAAACATATAGAACTAACATATAAATCAAGGAAAATAGACGAAACTCAACGAAAAAGCACCAGCAATCGGCACGCACCCGCACGCCATCGAAGTTGTACGAATTTTCTTCGTTCGCTCTCGAGCCCGCGAGCTTTGCGTAGAAGAAAGTAGAAAAGAAAAAGCAACGACAGACGCTGCGCAGCCGAAACAAAAAGAAAACATTCATGAAATAAATACTTTCCACTCTTTTTGTTCAGACACAAACCCGCCAATAGAATGAAATAAACGCCGAAAACAACGGCATGCGCATGCGGCTAGTGCATCAACATGAAATATATACAAAACGACCACACTACATATTGTAGATTTATACGTAAATTAATATTTACAAAATGTAAGTGAATGAAGGGGTAGAATTTGCGGGAATTTCTTACTCCTCTCCATTTTCTATTTGTTTCGTGTTGCGCTCCTGAAAGCAAAGACAAAGACAGACAGAAAAAGAAATAAATGAAATAAAAGTATGTGAAGCTGATTTCAGCGGCAGCAGCTGCTGCTGCAGCATGCAAGGCAACAACAGTCAAAAGCAGCAGCAACGCAGCAGAAGCAATAAGTTGCAGCAATACGGAGCTCCAGCGCAGCAACCAGCAAGGGGGCAGACGCAGCAGGACGTTGAGCAGCACACTGTAGCAGCAACAGCAGAAGTGACGAGCAGTGGCACCGAGCAGCAGCAAATATGAACATGAATACACAGGAGCAGCAGCAGCAGCAACAGCAACAGCAGCAACAACAGCAGCAGCAGCACCTGCAGCATATTGAGATAGAAGTTGATGACTTCGTCGTTAAGCCAGTTGGAGCCCTCCAGACAACTAAGGGCTTCGCTGCGGAGGAAAAACAAAAGAAACCCTAAACCCTAAAAACAAAAACTAAATGAGAAAAACGCCAGACACGACCAAAGCCCCAAGCCCCTACACATAACATAAAATAAAGATGGCCCCCACAGCCAGAGGAGACAGATAAAACAGATAAAGAGTGCAGCATAATTTGCTGCAGCTGCATGCAAATGGGTTTGTACGCCGGGCCTCTCCTGCTGCATGCACCTGTTGTCTTTGTCTCTTTTTTTCTTCACATCGAATTCATAAAAGGGGACAAGAAGAAAGAGAAAAGAAGAAGCACGGAGGAGAAGAGGAGACAAACAGAAAAGGAGACAAGAACGACACGCAGAAAGAAATACATATATATACAGATAGAGGCTGCGACGGCCAGAAACACACAAGCAGAGGGAAAGACAGAAATAGAGAAGAAAGAAAATGAGAAGAAAGGAAACAAAGAGAAAAAAAGAAAAAAGGAAAAAAGGAAAAGAAACAAAGACGGCAGGCATCCGTACACTGTGATAGGTATATTAAACTTTTCTATAAGGAGCCGATCTCTGTCCATCAACTTAAACAAACGCTTCGCTTTCTTCACCTCCTCAGCTGCATATAAAAACAAATAAAGCAAAAAAAGAAAAAAAATAAAAATACAACGAAAGGATAGTAAATATGTGAGACAAAACGAAAACTAAATAAATAAATAAACCCTAAACCCTAAACCCTAAACCCTAGAGTGTGCAAACAACCACCAACCTGAGACGCAGCGTGTGAAAGGACTCCTCCCAAACCTCATCGGCACTAAAGGAGGCGGAGGCGGCCTCGGCTGCAGCAGCAGCAAACTCACAACCCTAAACCCTAAACCCTAAACCCTAAACTCCAAACCCTAGTTGTGGTGCCGGATGTTGATTGGTGAAAGGCGACCTGGGGTTTAGGGTTTAGCGGCAGGCTTACGGCCCAAGGCTCCTTATGAAACTGATACAAGGTGTTAGGGTTTAGGGTTTAGGTTTTAGGGTTTGCAGTGAAGGGTAGGGTTTAGTGCTAAAGAAGAAGCCGACGGCTTCCAATCCGAGACGAAGCACAAGGCTATCTAGGGTTTAGGGTTTAGGGTTTAGGGTTTAGGGTTTAGGGTTTGTGCAGCTGACTACTACGAGGCGTTTTTCAAGCGCTTCTCTTCTTTTGTCTTTCTCTTCGCGCGATATCTCCAAACTCCTCAACAACGACAACACCGCACTCTGCAACACAAACCCTAAACCCTAAACCATAAACCATAAACCCTAAACCCTCAATGCGAAGCCATCAACGCTGCCTCCACATGCTACACCATTTACTACGAACCCCAATCTCTCAGCCATGGAATATCGATCCTAAACCCTAAACCCTAAACCCTAAATGTTAAAAAAGTTTTGGGGGGTTGAGGAGTACCTCATGCTGTTTATGGGCGTCAAGCATCAGCTCCATTGCTTCTTTCTGCTGCTGCAGCAGCAGCACAGACGCAGACTGCTGGGTACGTCCCCCAAGCCGCGCACATTGGTGAAGAGGTGCTGCTGCTGTTGATGCTCTTGCTGCTGTTGCTGCTGTTGCTGTTGTTGCTGTCGCTGCTGCTGCTGCTGTTGATGCAGAAAGAGGAGGGGCAGGCGGCGGCAGATATTCCAGGCCCTTTGAAGACTGCAGCAGAAACAAAACGAACAAAAAGTATAAATAATAAATATAAAAACACACACGCACACACACAAATGAAAAAGAGAGAACGAGACACCGGCACCCGCTATTGTTGTTGTTCGTGTTTCTGCCGTTGTTGTTGCTGCTGCTGCCTACCCCTTCTTTCAGTAGGAGACTCCTGTAAGTCTCGAGACTTCCCTTTTGCTGCTGCTGCTGCTGCTGCTGCGACGTCTTCAGCCATAAGCTGTCTGTACACCCCACGCTCCCCCAAGGAGGCGCTGAAAGCCCCCGTCTCGGCCCCACAGGTGGACACCCTGCCCACTGCAACCATCCATCTCCACTTCCTGCTGCTGCTGTTGGTGCTGCTGCTGCTGCTGCATCTGCTGCTGCTGGAGGTGGGGGTGCATCGGCAGCTGCAGCATCTGCTGCAGTTGCTGCTGCATGGGGACCGCCTGCATGCACTGCAAGCTGAGATGACGTAGAGCGCAGCCGCAGCAGCGTGGCTTCTATTCCTGATTGTTCTTGTGCTGGTTTTGCTGCTGCTGCTGCCGTTTCTGCTGCTTCTCCGTCTGTCTCCAGGGCGGCCTCAAGTGAGAAGGTAGAGGGCAGAGGAGCTGCTCCCAATGCCCTCATGGGGTGTACGTTCAGCAGACAAGGAGGAGAAGAGGAGGAGAGAGGACGAGAGATGACAGAAGAAGCAGCAGCAGGTGCAGCAGAAAAGATGCAAGGAGGCTGAAGGCCGCCATGAGGAAGGATACCGGTCGGAGGCAAACCAAACTGTGGTGCTGTAGACCCCGAAAAAGACCCATGTTGCTGCCGCAGCAGCTGCTGCTGCTGCTGCAGCTGCTGCTGCTGCTGCTGGCGCTTAGACTCGGATGCGCGCCTCGAGAGAAGATCGAGCATCTTGCTGCCGAGGCGGCCGCGCTGTGTTGCAGCAACAGCGCAGCAGGGTAAAGAGAGACACAGGAAGAAGAGACAGGAAGCGAGAGAAAAGAAAAAGAATAAAACAAATTACAGCTGCCGAAGCAGCGAAGATGTACGCTGTGTTCCTTAGCTTTCTCCGTCTTCATACGCAGTGAAATATCCCTTAGACAGTGCCTGAGCAGAGCAGTAGCTGCTGCTGCTGCTTCCGCTGCTGGTGCTGCTGATGTTGCTAGTGACGCTGCATCTGTTGCAGCAACTGGTGATGCTACTGCTGCTGCTGTTGCTTTTACTACAGCAGCAACGCGGAACGTGTTCGTTTTGTTAGCAGGGTTTCTAGGGCTTGGAGCTCCCTCAGGCAGGCGCGACGGAGGCAAGTAAGTCTATTTATATATTATAGGCTGAGCATTGATTTCCGTTTATATAAACAAAAAAGAAAAACAAATTGTTCAAGAAAAAAGACAAGTCGCTGCGGGAACGAAGCGGTTTCGGTTGCCGTATATGGGCTTCCTGCGCAGCTGAAACCACTGGCAGACATTCGAGCGGAAAAGGGGTTTTTTAGAGAATCTATGAACAGAATATACTATTTTCAATTCAAATTAATAAAGTGAATAAATTCAACTTTGATAGAAACACTATTTTCCTCAGCTTTCCACCCGAAAAAGAAGAAGAAGGGGGGCCCCAGCGCAACATCGGCCTCATCGTTTTCAGCCAGTTCAAGTTCAGGTTTCTCTGGTGTCATTGCCGCTAATACAAAAATAAAACATATTTTTCTCTTTTATTCATCAAATATTCTATTTCCATTTCCTTTTATCCACAAATATCCCTCGGGGAGGCAAATGCATCTTTTGAATACTGAACTTGTACAGGAGCCCCAGTATACGAAACGAGAACGCCAAACCGGCTGAAGCGGAAAAGGAATAAATATAAATATAAATAAATATAAATATAAATATATATATATATAAGAGGAAAATTACACCGAGGAAAAATATGAAATTGAGTCCTCAAAGTAAAGCATTTATTGCCGCTTTCCAGCCCTGTCGTCAGCAGCACACCGAGGATAGTTTAAACATCTATATCTTTTGCATATACATTTAAATAAATTTCATAAATGTTATAAATAGGGTTTAATAACCTTCAAGCTCTAGTAACACAGACCCGCAGCCAAATATATTCTATATATATATATATATATATATATATATATATATATATACAGAGCACANAATATATTCTATATATATATATATATATATATATATATATATATAGATCCAGAGCACAGCAGCATGAAGACTGCGGGCTTACTGCGGCAGCAACAACAACACCAGCTACAACTACGGGATTAACGAGGCAAAACAACGAAAACCATAAAACAAAAGAAAACAATAAAATAACAAAAATATCAACAAAACAAAAACACCTCATCTACTGCATATATTCATGCAAATATATCTACAGCGCCATCTAAGGCCGGGGTAATTCTCTCTTTTTTTTTTTTTTTTTTTTTTTTTTTTTT